AGTTAGACACAACAACATCGACAAATGCACTTATGTGTCTGTGGGGAAGGCGCTTTCTGTGTCCTCTGTGACCTTGGTGAGCAGAAGCAACATTTTTAACTGAGGGAAATAGGACTTGGTTTATAGTCTAATTGGGCTGCTAGGGTAGCAATCTGGGTGGCTCCTCAGGTTCATAATTCCATCATTCTAATGACATTTTCTGGTGGTTCCGTTAGGTTTTAAGTCACCCATTCTTTTCATGTGACTGTTTAAAGGAAAACGTTTCTTAGGGTTTTCTCAAGGTCTTGCAGAAGTACTTTTTAAAAAAAAAGTTAAATACTACTTTTGGCTTAACAAAATATGTTAATGCGGAGACTTATCTGGTTACTGGGTAAAATATTTGAAATTAATAAAACCTTGTAGTTTTAAACATACATAACCGAGAGGATCATCTAGTACATGTGATTGTAGCCAAATAAACAAATGAACACTCAGTTAACTGTAGAGCGGTGACCGCGTCCCTCCCCCTCTCCCCCACTTTAGCTGAAAACCAGTTTCCTCCCACAGTGTAAGAGGCAGAGGTGGCGGTGGTAGCGACGAACATGATATTGCTGAGGTTTATTGAGCACTTGCTCTGTGACAGCCCTTGTTCTAAGCCCTTCCTGCTTGCTTAATCACATAACTGCCACCAAAAACCTATGAATTCTCCCCATTTCAGAAGAGGAGAAACTGAGCCACACAAGGTTGAGTCACAGAAGTATGAAGTGGCAAGCCCAGGATTTGAGTCTAGACATCCCGACTCCAGAGCCTACTCCATTAACCATCCCTGTGCTTCCTGTGTGTGTTTGCTGATCTAATTTTTTTTTCAGTCTCTAGTATTGACATGGAGATGGCTTTGGGGACGTGATTTAATACTGGCTACAGAGAGAGTCACCAGAAATGGCCCGGCATTGTCACTTCTTCAGCTTCATGAAAGCTGGTGGCCATCTGCGCCTTTCTCATTCAGGCTGCTGTACTGGTCACATGAGTGGAATCCTGCCCGTCTCCCCTCTGCTGCCCTCCCATCCTGTTGTCTTCCACGGGGGCCCCAGACCAGAGCTTGCCCCTTGGTGGAGCACAGTGACGAGGCTGAGGGAGGCGTGCTGAGGCTTTTGTCTCCCAGCCCCAGCATCTCCCTTTCTTCCCCCTGGTTCTCCCCCTACTTTTAGTTGGGAAGCACCATGTGAACCATCTGCTGGCCCTAGGACCCCAGCGGGCTCCGCACAGACATCCCTTCTGGAAACATCCTCTGATTGCCCCTCCTCCCTCTTATCCTCTTCTAAAGGGGGTGATGTGCAGTGTGGCGGTGTGGTGCCCACAGTGCTGAATCACAGTCGACATGCCCAGAAATGCCATTAGGAGAATCTACCCCAGACAGAGAGCCCTGCCTCGGTGCCTGATGAGGACTCAGGAGGCCCATTAGGGCCTGGAGCCCGTCCAGAGGCCACATCACTGCTCACTTCCCCACTGCGGGTTTGGGTCGGACTCCTTAATGGGGCCAGAGACTCAGGTTTTCCTGCACTTATTTGCTTCTTTTCTTGCCTTAGGGGCTGCCAAACTATAAGCTGTATGAAATGCTCAGGAATAGCCCGTGACTCAGGGGGTTGGCATTTTTCAGTCTCCATGGCCTGGAGGGTGGACGCTCCCCCCACTGCTCTCAAAATAACCAGGCTTGATGGCAGCCTCAGGGAATACTCTACACACTTCTTAAAGTTGTACTAGTCTATTCCTTAAAAATGACCCTTGAAGAGCTTTAGAGGAAATCATGTTTCTGGCCTCTCATCAACAGTTTTTTTTTTCTTTTTTAAGAGATAGAGTCTCACTTTATTGCCCTTGATAGTGTGCTGTGGCAACATAGCTCACAGCAACCTCCAACTTCTGGGCTTAGGCGATTCTCTTGCCTCTGCCTCCCAAGTAGCTGGGACTACAGGTGCCTGCCACAACACCTAGCTATTTTGTTGTTACAATTTGGCCGGGGTTGGGTTTGAACCCGCCACCCTTGGTATATGGGACCGGCACCCTACTCACTGAGCCACAGGTGCCACCCAGTTTTTTTTTTTTTGAGACAGTGTCTCATTATGTTGCCTTTGGTAGAGTGCTGTGGCATCACAGCTCACAGTAACCTCAAACTCTAGGGCTTATGTGATTCTCTTGCCTCAGCCTCCTAGTAGCTGGAACTACAGGCACCTGCCACATGCCTGGCTATTTTTTTGTTGCAGTTGTCATGGTTGTTTGGCAGGCCTGGGCCAGATTTGAACTTGCCAGCTCTGGTATATGTGGCTAGTGCCCTAGCCGCAGAGGTACAGGTGCTGAGCCCCATCGGCAGTTTTGTTGGTACCTTTGCCTTGTTTGTCTTGGGAGCTGAGTTGAAGGAAGACAGGAGACTGTGTCTGCCACTTGAGGCCTGAGCTTAGTGACCAGTGCCCAGCTGGGTGCGGATGGGTGGAGAAGGGGACATAGGTGGGAAACCTCTTTCTAGAGCAGGGACTTCATATTCTTCCAGTAGAGCCCCGGAAGTGACAATGCCCGGCCATTTTGACTGACGTCACCAAGAGAATTTACTTTCATGGATCTGATGTAGAAGGTTGTTTGTGCTTTCTGCAATTCATGTGCAATACCATAGTCTCTGGCCTCTTGGGGAGGCCTAAGTTGCCTTGCGGGGGAGGGTGTGAGAGCTCAGGCTGCCCAGGTCCATGTCTCATGCGTCTGTCTGTGATTGGCTTGCCCTCAGCCATGACACTGTCTCCATGCTCCCGTTTCTTTTTTTTTTCTTTTTGAGACAGAGTCTCAAGCTGTTGCCCTAGGTAGAGTGCTGTGGTGTCACAGCTCACAGCAACCTCACACTCTTAGGCTTAAATGATTCTCTTGCCTCAGCCTCCCAAGTAGCTGGGACTACAGGCGCCCACCACAACGCCTGGCTATTTTTTGTTGTTGCATTTGCAGTGTTGTTTTTAGCTGGGCGGGGCCGGGTTTGAACCTGCCACCCTTGGTGTATGTGGCCGGCACCCTGCCGACTGAGCTATACCACCAATGCTCCTGTCTTCTTGACTGTAGAGCAAGGATGCTGACCAGAGGCATGTATGGGGCTACTCAGACTGTGCAGCTTACAGATGTGAGTGTGACGGTGGTGCTTGGTGTCAGCTAGGGCTTGTGAGGACCCTGGGTATGGGTGGTAGTGGGGATGTCTCGTCTCTGTGTCCTACATTACATGCCAGAGCACCCTACTAAGGGGCCTGAACTCAGTAATAGCTTCATGCTTTGGATTTCTCCTGAAAGAACAGAACATTCTTCTTGGATTCCCTCAGGGATGATCTTAATCATGAACTCCACTGCATCCCCAGGACCTGTCAGTGATGACCCTGTTGACCTGAGCTCCTCACAGGGCACCTTCTGTCCTCACTCAGGCAGGTTAAGGGAGAGGCCTGTGGTGCCTGAAGCTCACTGCTGAGCTGGCTGGGGAGGATCTGAATGAGAACATGGCCCATCTCCCCATGCCCTGTTTAGGCCCCCTTAGCTATAGGACACTCTCTCTTCTGTTGCTGTAACCCTGGGGTGCAGACCCTTAGAGTCTGGCTTTTACCCTGAACATTCCTCATACCATACAGACCTCTTAATTGTTTGTGCAGTGGAACTATTTGTGTTTCTGGAAACTGAAGTGCTTGGTCATGAGGGTGTGGGACTAGTGAGCTGGTGTCCTGTTTCCTGGCCTTCGCCCTGAGTGGAGAGCTGGGGATGTGGAGCCAGAGGGCCCTGACTTCCCGCGTCTGCACGTGTGTGCTCTGTAGTCACAGCTGCCATGGCAGGCCCTCCCATGTGCACCGCCGGGAAAAGCCCTCTTGGCCTCCTTCGCTGTCTTCCAGCTGCTCACGGGGTTCTCACATTCATGGGGATCACCGTGTTTAAAATGGATGGAAATAAGGCAGGGTGCAGTTTGCCTGAATTGCCAAGTCCTAGCTAGATCTGGGCTCCCTCCTCTGTCCTTCTGCCCAGCTCTCATTAGTATCGTCAGCATTTCCAAGTGGGCTCTAGTCTGGGTGCCCTTTGCCATGTACAGTGTATTTCTTGGAACTGGAGTTAGTGATTTCACACGTTGCTTTAGCAACCAAATGACTATTGAACCATGACAGGCCCATTCTCTCTCACTGCTGGCTTCTGAAGTGGTAGATGTGAATATCGACTTAATGGAGACTATGTAATTTTAGACTCTTGGAGCTAGACCTAGCCAAAGAAATCACCCAGTTGGGTACTTTCCACCCTTTTATTAAAGGAGATAAGAAGATGCCCCAGTGGACAGAGTGAGGCCTGAGTGTGGGGAGGATGGGTCTGCTGCTTCCTTTCGCTTTTCTGCCTATCTGCCTCCCATCTCTCTTGTCAGCTGTAAGATGTCCCCATGGAACCCACTTTGAAAACCAAAGGTGTAGTCCAGCTGCCTTACAACAAGTGTCAGTCCCTGTGCTGCTCCTAGCCGGCCCTCTGCAGGCTGCCCCCAACTTGACTCCAGAAAGACCCCATTAAGGGTTGCAATTGTTCTGGACCCTCTAGCCAAGAGTGACATGCCCACACCCAGGCCCCTTCCTGCTTCCCACAGAAGCCAAGCTCTGCCTGCCCTCCCCTCCTGGGCCCACCTCTTGCCAACACCCCGCTGATTAAGCTCTCCTTGCCTTGGATAGGGAGGGCTTTCTAGAGGGGCTTGGCTGTGCAGTGTGCTGAGGCCCTAGCCCACTCTTCCTTTTCATTCGGCTAATACTGGCTGCACAGCTGTAGTGGCAGGTGCTGGGTGGCAGGCTTAGTGCTGGGTGCCAGGGACGTGGCAGTGAGCAGAGCAGGGGAGCCTGGCCCAGGTCTGCTGAGGCCGGTGGGTGGGCTTGCCAGCCCCATGGTGCAGCCCTGCCCCAGCCACTCTGTAGACATGAGTCCTAACACATAGGACATTCTGACATTTCAATTCCCTAATGAATTATTTTTAAAAATTATTTTTACAGGGCCTTATTGGAAGGAGAAAGTAATCCAGAGATACTGATCTGGACTGAGCATGCTGAAAATGTGCAACCAGGTAAATGAAAGGAAAGCTAATTATTTAACTTAAAAATACTTCCCAGGCTGGGCACAGTGACTCACTTTCGTAATCTGAGCGCCTTGGGAGGCCGGGATACCATTGTGCTACTGCATATAGCCTGGACAAAAAAGGGGGTCCCTGTGTCTAAAACACAAAATGCTTCCTGTCTACACTGTTCATTTCATGGATAGATAGTAAAGCACCAGTTATCTGGAAGAACAGGAGTTAGATACGGTGTTCAGGTAACAGTAGTTCATCTCTCTTTTACATACCAAATAACATTTTAGTTTACTGGGACATAATTTCAATTATAACGTAAATGAGAGTGTGGAGAAAGAAGTGCTTGATAAACTCATGTGTTTGGGGGTGCTTCCTGGCCAACATGGAGCAGGAGCAGAGGGGCTGATGGCACTGAGCAGTGAGAAGGGTGAGGGAAAGTACATGTGGACTTAGTTATCACACAAGAGTCCCTTGGAAGGGACACTTGTTTGCTTTCCAGATCAAAGAGCTATGTTGTAGCACAAGTACAGGGAAGCAGGGCTTTGATGGGCAGGTGGTCAGCACCTTGGAACCTGCTGCCTCATCAGTGCAGGGATGGGAAGAATTCCGTTGTTTCTACTACCTTAGGCTGGTGTGTGCAGCTCAGGAAAATGTGCTGCTCAGGTACTCTGAGGACTGCCTCAGTGTAGGCCAACTCTAGGACAGGGCCCATGGCTGTGATCCCAGCACCTTGGGAGGCTGAGGCAGGTGAATCACCTGAGCTTAGGAGTTTGAGACCAGCCTGAGCAAAAGCAAGACCCCATTTCTACTAAAAGTAGGAAAACTAGCCAGGCATTGTGGTAGGTGCCTATAGTCCCAGCTACTTGGGGAGTGAGGCAAGAGCATGGCTTGAGCCCAGGAGTTTGGGGTTACTGAGCTGTGATACCACAGCACTCTACCCAGAGCAAATGAGTGAGACTCTTGTCTCAAAGAGAAGCAAAACCAAAATCTGTAGTGTTTCTGCAGCAGCACCTTTACAAATGAGGAGGTTGTCAGTGTGAAAATGAAAGAAATTAGGAAGTGTAAAAAATATTAATTTTGTCAATACTTGTTGGCCCAATAAAGAAATCAGTGAAAAATAAGAGCATATAAACAGCTATGGTCTTGGTATTCAGTAATTAAATACTTTGTAATTATATATTTCTTCTCTGCTGAAATAAGTAAAATAAATTTATCTCAACCAAGTAGAAATGAATGATCTCAAGATATCCGAATACTGTGAAATTTCAGCCATAAAAACTAGCACCTCTGAGTTTTCTGCACACGTGCTGTGCTTTGTGATCGACATTTGGTGTTTTTGTCAGGGTGAGTGAATATTTTCAGAGCAGTAACTGGGGAAGAGTGCTAGGCTAATTTGTTGTGCTGCCTTTCCTGTAATAGGATTTTTAAAACACCCCAAAGATAATTTGGGCACTGAAAATGGTGTATTTATAATGTCCTTTCTGTGGTAATAGTATATATTTTGCATTATGGGATTGGATTTGACCTGTAACAATGTTTAAAGATGAAAAAAGGTAATGATGTTTATCATTTTAATGAACTGTTTGTTCAACTTCTACAGAATTCAGAAGCAAGGCCTATCAATATACTGACTCAGTATTACAAAGGGAAAATCAAAGAAATCTGTTCTCAAGGCAGAAAGCAACTTTGGCAAGTTCAGTTCCCAGCTCGGCAGTCTACTCCCACCGGTCCGGGTACCTTGGGTCTCAGACAACCACATCTACTGGAGGTGCTGCTAGAAGGGGCTTCTTGGGCTCGGGATACCCTTCCGTGGCCCCTGCCTGGCAGGAAAATTCTTACGGAAAAGTTGTCAACAGTCAAACCAGCTTCAGAACTTTTTCTCCAACCTATGGTCTTTTAAGAGATACTGAAACTCAAGTGAAAACATTCCCAGAAAGACCAAAAGCTGAAGGTACAAGGGAGGCCCCCACTTACTTAGCCAAAGATACCACAGTTGTCCAGGAGTCGCACCAAGACAATGTGGCAGCAGGTGCTTCCAGAAGCACTCGGTTAAATGAGAGGACTGTCACTGTGGAAAAGAAAACCACAAGGGAGCAAGAAGGAAGCAAACCAGGAACCATCAGAAAAAGGCAAGAAGAGAAAATGTTTGATTCTAAAGAGAAGGCTTCAGAGGAGAGAAATTTGAGATGGGAAGAACTGACAAAGTTAGATAAAGAAGCAAGAGAGAGAGAGAGCCAGCAAATGAGGGAAAGGGCTAAAGGGATGGAATCCCTGAAGGAGAAGAGTGTGAGAGAAAGAGAGGTGCCGATTAGTGTAGAAGTATCCCAGGACAGCAGACCAGAGACGTCCCCTAAAGGTCTGCAGACACAGATGCCAGTGAAGAAGGGTGCAGGTGCAGGTGGGGAGGCGGACACCAGAGAGGCACGGTTCAGGTTGGGCACTGGTGACACCACCAGCTCTCTGACAGGTGATTGCATGACAGAAACCATAGCAGAAAACATTGTTACCAGCATCCTTAAGCAGTTTAGTCAGTCTCCAGATACAGAAGCCACTGTTAATTCTTTTCCAGACACAAAAGTCACTTACATGGAGAGGAGAGAGCTACCTGGTGAAAGGAAAACAAAGACTGAAATAGTTGTGGAGTCTAAACTGACTGAGGATGTTGATGTCTCCAATGAAGCTGGCCTGGACTACCTTTTAAGCAAGGATATTAAGGAAGTGGGGCTGAAAGGAAAATCAGCTGAGCAGATGATAGGAGATATAATCAATCTAGGTCTGAAAGGGAAGGAGGGGAGAGCAAAGGTGGTCAACGTGGAGATCGTGGAAGAGCCTGTGAGCTACCTAGCTGGTGACAAGACAGAGGTGTTCTCTGTCCCATTCAAGGTGGAAGAGGTCGATGATATGTCTCCCGGTGCCAAGGAGCTTGTTGAGGAAGAGGAGAGTTACGAAGAAACTGACGTCATGTTCTCAGTTAATCAACGTCAGAGGACCAGGCAACCTCAGGAGAAGGTAGCTCACGTTGAAGAAGTGACAGAGGCAGGTGACTCGGAGGGAGAGCAGAGTTATTTTGTGTCAACTCCAGATGAACACCCTGGGGACCATGATAGAGATGACAGCTCAGTGTATGGGCAGATTCACATCGAGGAGGAATCCACCATCAGGTATTCTTGGCAAGATGAAATCGTGCAGGGGACGTGGAGGAGAAAAAAAAGGGATGATGAGGCCGGTGAGAACGTTGTGCCCCTGGATGTTCCAGCACCTTCTCTGGAAGGGGATGCAGGTTCTGTTCACTGGAAAGAAGCTAGAAGTGGTGAATTTCATGCTGAACCAATAGTCATTGAAAAGGAGATTAAAATACCGCATGAGTTCCACACCTCCATCAAGGGCATGTCCTCCAAGGAGCCCCGGCACCAGCTAGTGGAGGTGATCGGACAGCTGGAGGAAACCCTTCCGGAGCGCATGAAGGAAGAGCTGTCTGCCCTAACTAGAGAGGGACTGGGTGAGTCAGGGGGTGTTTCAGTCGATGTAAAGAAAGTCCAGACCTCTGGTGGTGGTTCTGTGTCCTTGGTGGCTGAAGTCAGCCTCTCTCAGACTCTGGATGCTGATCAGTTAGACCTGGAGGAGTTGAGCAAAGACGAAGCTGGAGAAATAGAGAAAGCCGTGGAGTCAGTGGTGCTAGAGAGCTTGACCAAGCGACATGGCTCAGCACCAGGAAGCCCAGGCAGGGAAGGCAGAGCGGAGGCCTCGGCTGCTGGCATCAAGCGCTGGGCCACCAGGGAACTGTACAGCACCTCTGGCGAGAGTGGGGGAGCTGGCGGGGCCTCCCATGGTCCAGTGTCGGCCACTGTAGAAGTCAGCAGCCCCAGGGCCTTTGCTCAGTCACACGTGCTGGAGGATGTGAGTCACTCTGTGAGGCACGTTAAACTAGGTCCCACTGAGATCTGGAGGACTGAGCAAGTCTCGCAGGGAGGACCCACTACAGGAGTGGTGGAGGTAAGTGGGGGAGGTGACCTCAGGCAGGCAGTGAGCTTCACTCAAGCATCTGGTCCCCATCAGAGTCAAGCATCCAAAGAAGCCTTCTTCCAAGGCCTTGCCCCTGCCTGTCAGGAGGGGGGAGGCACAGAAGACATAAACCCAGCAGAGTTTTCCACAGATACTCACGACATACCAGGGAGGCACAGCACATATGGCTCCAACCAGTTTCGTGCTGAAAAGGAAATTACCTTTCAGGGTCCCATTTCTGCGGCAGGGAAGGCTGGTGATTCCTTTGCAGGGGAAGAGGCAGTGGATATCCACACTTCCATGAGGTACCTTCAGTTAGGCCCTAAAGGAGGGTTCACTGAGCAAATTCAGTTTGTAGCCCCACTTCCAGGCAGAATGGAGTCAGGTGTCAGTGGAGATTCTGTGCACGACACGCCTATCAGACATGTCCGTATTGAACCCCAGAGGCATCAAACAGCTGAGCAGATAGTTTACCACGGGCCAGTCCCTCAGCACGTGGAATTTAGTGCCTCAGAAAGCAGCACTGTCTGCAGAGAGGGCTCAGCAGATGTGATCCAGGCCACTCATAGTTACACATTGGGGGGTAAAGCCCTTATGACTGAAAAGAGTGCCCTCCAAAGGGTCATTTCCAAATCTTCTCAGGATAATGTGGGGGACATGTCAGAGGCAGAAGTGACATTGGGCATTAGCAGATCCTTTAGGCACATTCAACTAGGTCCTCTCCCTGGTTCAGTAGACCCCTCTGAGCTGGGTGGTTTAGTGGATGGTGGTGGAACACTAAGGCACGTTGCCCTGGGGCCCAAAGAAACTTCATTTACCTTTCAGGTGGATGTGAGTCACATAGAGGCCACCCCCCGCTGGACACAAAAGGCAGGAATGGAAGCAGATGCTCACAGTATGTCTGACCGTGGTGCTTGGAGAGACACGGACAGTAGGAATGACCAGGCAGCTGGTGCAAGCTTTACAACCCCTGCGGGGGCTGGACACCAGGCCGACCGAGAGCAGGGCAAGGCGCAGGCAGAGTTTGATAAAACTGTGCAGTTGCAGAGAATGGTAGACCAAAGGTCGGTGATTTCAGATGAAAAGAAAGTTGCCCTCCTCTATCTAGACAATGAGGAGGAGGAGAATGATGGGCATTGGTTTTGATGCACAGAAAATATTTTGTTTTAAATGACATCTTATTTGGTAACATACCAACATACAAAGGCCTTATTTCAAGAGGTGGGGGGGAGCGCACTTGTAAACCCTCCCCCTTTTTTTTGCTTTCTTTAGAGTTCTCCAGGCAGTGTCAGTTTATTTTATAGTTAATCTATAAAGGTTTCAAATTAATTCATGCTTTATAAGGCATCAGCATTTTAATTTGACTTGGGACTTTTACAAAACACTTTTTTTTCCTGAAAATTTCTCTCCACTTTAGGAGACAAAGTTTTACCACTTCTGCACCTGCTCACAGACATGGCTTGCATCTGCTTAGAAACAATAATTATCTAAGGGCAAGATGCCTAAACATTAACCAGATTAAAGAAATATTAAAGAGTAAATTTTGTTTGCATGTGCTACTATGAAATAATAAACTAACATTTTAAGGGAAAAATAAATACATTTTCTCCTTCCAAAGTCTTTCCAAAAAGAAATCCTTGGAAATGAGCAGATTGCTTATGTGAAGACAATTTTGCTAAATGAAAAGTTGTCAGATGGAATCAAATTCATTTAAAGACTTGAATGAATTTCTCTCTATGTGCAGAACTTTAAAAAATACAGTATTGTATTTATGGAGAGGACAGCTGTAGTCTATTGTGACATTTCAAATTAGGTTTGTGCAGCTTCTCCTGCACTGGACCCATGAATAGGGGACATGGTTATTGGGTGTCACTGAGGGTGTCATTTCTTAATGGCACTGGGTCATTAAGTAGCACACAGGCTGAACATTCTTTTTCATTGTAGCCTATGTTCTGGAGTAGCCAGCTCCTACCAGACTGAGTATATTCGAGCTTCTGTGTGCCCCCAGCCCTTAGCACCCAGACACTTGGTGTCACGGGTGGGAGGTATACCCTAAAGGTGGTGATGACAATGTCGATGCTCAGACTACAGCTGGACTGGCAAGTGGGTCGCATGCAGGAAAATTGGAAACATAAGGTGGACTGTGCCTCCCAAAGACGCCTTTCTCTGCCCCTTTCATGCCCCACCCTGACTCATGGGGGCCTTTCTGAGCTCAGAAAGATGAAAATGCAACAATCACTAACCAACCTCGCAGAAGCTTTTTTGCACTTTCAGCAGAAATCTTTACAGCTGGATGTTTTGTACAGGAAACAAATAATGCATTAAATAGAATAAGCTATTTGGGGGAAGGAACTAGGTAGCTCCTAGGACAGGCCCTGGAGGGGGAGAAGGCCATCACTCTCCTGGGCCACACAGGATGAGGACCTGCAGGTGCACACCACTGAGTCTAAGATGGTAGATAGTGTGCTCGGTTTGATTTGTTTTATTTTACACATGGGTATTGTTTTCAAAGCTTCCATCTTTTAAAGATATAGTATCACATACAAATAGTATCTTTAGCCTATAGCAATATTTTAGTTCAGGCTAGTTTTTCTCACATAATGTTGTCTGAACTGTACTACTTCCTATGGCACGGTATATCATAGAACTGACTCTAGTGTGCTGAGGAATAGGGATCTGATGTTCTACTACCTTCAGGTAGGTTAGGATGACAGCATGGGAAGGTCTTTCCTCTCTGTTCACAGGGTGGTCCTCAGACCCCCCCGCCCAAGGATGCTCATCTCTGTTGGTCCTGATATCGGCTACAGCAGGTAGTTTACAGAGAGTACATTTTCATAGTAAGTGGAGAAATCCAGCACAGCTCTCAAGATGATCTATTTTTAAAACACCATGAATCAGAGGATAGAAAGTTAATTTGAATTGCAAGTTTAAACCTTTGTTATCCATCTGCCAAGTGAACTAGTGATTGTCAGACTGGTTACGGAGGTGACTGCTTTACAAAGATTTGTCATTTTCTAATACAGTCAAAGATGTGCTGGTTTTGTATTAGTTATAATTGGTAATGGTCTTTGTAAAAGTGATTGATGAGAATTTGGTCACAGTGATAGCCTCCTGTTTGATGGCAGCACAGACTGATGAGGAATCTGTAATGAATCTGGGCTGAGTTTAATGTCAGAGTTTTGGCTTATAACCTGGTGAACAGATGCTGATGTGAATAGGTTATTAATATCATAACCTACTTCTGTTTACCTTGGAAATTGTCTTACATCTTAATTTTTACCTCCAAATTGTAATGCATGGAATAACAGAGCTGTTGGTTACTAAGTCTCTGAATCACCTAGGAGAGAGTGTGTCCTCAACACTGTGATAGGTCACCCCAAACTTCTGTGTTCTTTAAAAACAGTCACTCTGGAGATAAATTAACTTCATGGTTGGATGAGGTGGGAACACAACTGGTGTTTTCCTATACAAAACAGTATTCGTTGAAGTTTTCCAGCTTCCCACTGGTTGTTTTGATACCATTTGTTTAAGGTGTGTATTTAGAATGGAATCATCTAAGAAGCTGAATTTGTTAACCTCCTGTTCTCCACAAAGGGAAAGAAATGTCATAAGAATGTATAAAAATAAAAATCTGAGGGGAAAAAACTCACATTGTTCCAAGAGTATTTTCCAGTAGATTTTGGTGTGGTTTCTTTTAAACTCTAATTAAAGAATCCCTATTCTTACATGCATGTTTTTAGGGCAGCACAAAATAACTGGGGAGAATGTACATGAACAGTTCTAGTTCTCTAATTCCTCACTTGAATAGGACTTGACAGTGTTAACATAAAGACAGAATGCATGGCAAAGCATAGACCGAGTGGCTTGTATTCAAATATATACTGAACAATTTGTGGTAAAATGTCATCATCACAGGCTGGAAGACCAGTGCCAGGACATGACCAGCCATCCGTTTTTCCTGAGATGAGGGGTTTCTTGGGATGTGAGAATTTCAGTGCGAAAACCAGGACTGTCTGGGCATTCTGGGACAGTTGGTTACCTTGTAAGTGCAAATCGAATGGTTGTTAATCACATTGATTTCTTAGGTGCTTTGAAAAATTAAGGTAAGTTGACACAAAGGAGTAGCTAGGTATCTTTTATAATCTTTTAGTCTTTTACCAAAAAGTACAAAAACACGAATAGCTACAATTTTCATCTCTTGTTAAAGTTAACAAATTTAATACATGGAAGGCATTTGGTGGAACAGTACTAAATTCATCCTTTCCTGGGGCAGGGGTGCGGGACTAAATTTTAAGAATGTATTTTAGTTTCTATGATTCTAAGATAACCTACCAAGTAATACAGAAAGGAAGAAGGAGCTGGGTGTAGTGGCTCACACCTGTAATTCCAGCACTCCGGGAGGCTGAGGCGGGCTGATTGCTTGAGCAAGAGTGAGACTCCCGTCTCTAAAAAAGACTCCTCAGCCTGAGCAAGAGCCAGACTCCTGTCTCTAAAAGAAATACCTCGGTGTTGTGGCAGGCACCTATAGTCCCAGCTACTCAGGAGGCTGAGGCAAGAGAACCACTTGAGCCTAAGAGTTTGCTGTGAGCTATTACACTTTGGCACTATACCCCAGGGTGACTGAGACTTCGTCTAAAAAAAAAAAAGAAAAAGGAATAGATCAGAATTCATATTTGTTTCAAAAAAACACACCATAGAATCTTAGTTTAGGCTACTGTGATACAAAAACACTGGCTCAGCTGGCTTAAATGACAAACATCTCACAGTTCTGGAGGCTGGAAAGTCTTAGTGCTGAGAGATTCTCCTGGTGAAAGGGCTCTGCTTGGCTTATAGACAGCTGCCGTCTTGCTGTGGAGGATGCAAACAGATTCTCTCTCTTGTGTTTCTTATAAAGGCCGCGATCAGGGATCCACCTCCTAATACCATCACATTGGGCATTAGGGCGTCATCATGAATTGGGTGGGGACACAAACATTGAGTGCATAGCAGATAGCACCTATGTCTCCAACTGTATGGGAGATTTGGTGAGTAGTGACCATATCCTAGTCCTTTTTTGCCACTCATCATCATCCCCCAGGTCTGGGACTGGTGAGTAACAGCAGAGATGGTCTACTGATCAGGTGTCAGGTTCCTGAGGAAGACGTGGGACCTTGTTTCTACCCACCCTGTCATGTCTTTATTTCCCCCATTGATTCTTGAGGTGACAGCCTACATGAATGGACCCAGGGTGGTTTGGGTTTCCCACAGAGGCCTGGAGAGGAAGGGCCCCATGCTGTAGTCTGCTGCCCTCTTAAGCACCAGCCTACAGCCTCACTGGCCATGGTGCCTGGAATGTAGGGGAGAGGGTAGCTCTGCCCACACCTGCACCCCCACCCTCTGGGTGCTCCATCCACCTCATTTCTACCATTGGATCTCTTGGTTGAAAGTGTGGAGAAAGGTGCCCAAAGCTTCCTGCTTGATGTTGCTATCTTCACACAACTATGGCCCCCCTGCCAGGAGGCCACAGACCACTGTGGACACCAGGTCAGTGCCAACTCAAGCCGCAGCTCCAGGGTGGTGGCCATGTTTGTCCTGCCTGGAGTAGAGGCCATAGGAGGTATGCGAGGCACTCTGCAGCCTCCCGTTTTGGGACCCTCACTCTTGCTTGCTTTTCTTTCCACTCCCCTACCCCAGCCTTGCCTGACCCCAAGGCCAAGCCAGGAGCAGTGGCCACCTGCCCCATTGTACTTGGTTATTGGCTGAGGTGCTACCACCGACACCCACTGATGCCACCAGCATACGTTCAATACTTAGTGTCACATTGGATGGCCACTGTGTGTCCCCAGTTCTCAGCATACGCCTGGTATAGCGTAAGTGCTGAAGAAAAAATGTGAAGAGAGACTGGACATACAGATGAAGGAAGCCGTCTCCAAGACCCTGATCAGGCTCCTGGGAGCTCTGAGCAAGGCTTCGTTCTGGAAACACTGACACCAGCACTTTCAAGTTTCCCTTTATTGGCATTTCATTCTCATTCTATGTTCAATCCTTATTAGCTTCCTATAAGAAAGGATTTTTTCCAGAGTTACACTGTTCCAAATCTGACCCCAGACCTATGCAAGGGACTCTGTGTACAAGTGAATGCCAAATATACTTTCCTGTACAACATTTGAAGATAAGACTTTTAGCCACAGTAGATCTCTGATGAGTAAAAATTCCTGTTGACAAGAAGAACCTCTTAGGTGATAAAAATAGAAATGTTTTATAGAAGTACCAGATCACCTGAAGGGCAACTACTGTCCCCCCTGTGGCCATGAGGGCTTCATGGTGTCACTGTGCATGTTGCAGCAAACAGTTGGCTGTGAAAATCTGTACCCTGACTGTTGAATTCCATCTTGGAGAGAAATTTGTATAACACCCTAAATGACAGTGCCCTGTCCTGCCCACAGCTTTCTTTGGGGGTAGGGGTGAGATCTCAGTCTGCTGCGTTGGGCCTGGCCTTCCCCAGCATGGTGTGCTGAGGGGCCCCGGTACAGAAGGCCACTTTGGCTTTTGCAGCCTGCCTTGGCTTCATGGCGACTTCAGGGGCCCTGCAAACAAGCAGAGGATATGGGGTGAGTGTGGCGCCCCTCAGCCCTGCACACAGTTCCCACCTGGCCTTTGCTGCTGGGAAGGAATTGCTGAGACACATTTAATGAGAGCCTCAGTAGGGGCTGTGAGTGAGATAGGAATCATGGCACAAAATGTTTTTCCTCCTATATTTTAATTCCTCGTGAGCACCCGTGTGGAGCTGAGACAGTGAACCCTCAGCTGGCTCAGGAAGCAGGACACGAGCAAAGAAGACTGTGGAGGTTGGGCTGAGGCCTCCTTGCTGGCTTGCTTTCCCTGCCCTAAAAGGGCTGGGTGCGGTCTGCTCCAGGCTGCTACTGGCTTCCCGGAGCCTGGAATTGGCCGTCAGCCCAGGGGCTTTGGCAGACACAGACTTTGTAAGTGGGGCCTCCACAGCAGGGGCTGAGAGAGACGTAGGGCCCAGCCTTTAAGGTAAAATCAGTGGACTCTCCAACTCCGGTCCTGACAGGACAGCAGACTGAGCCAGTCCTCTGTGCCCTCCCACTCTGGCAGGTGCCTCAACCCACAGCAGGGGCTGGTCTGCAGCAGGACGAAATCCAATGTGTGTTTCTGACACTATTCAAGAGCAAATTCCTTTTTAATACCTGGGCAAGGAGGATATTTTACAACTGGTCTTATGTTTAAAACTGTAAGTTATGGAAAGTCAGTAAAACCTCACAGGGAAGCTTCCACAGAACCTTCCAGAACAGCTTCCTCTGAGATTCTGAATAGAAAAGGGATGAGATACTGGGAAAAGGGAGGGAAAGCCAACTTACTTGGACAGGATGTCCACAGTCTGCTTGGTGGCCAAAGTCCTCTTGTCCTTTGCTCCGTATAAGAGGGTCTGAATCTGAAGACACTGTAGAACCCCAAATAGAAATCATAAGGTTATGGAAAGGTCATGGGGAACATTTTGCAGGAAAATGAAGTCTCCTTTGAATGAGAGAAAAAATGCTTCATTCTTAGACCACTGTTGTGACAGAAGTCGTGCTTTCTCAGGGTTTCCCCTAGGGACAGTCTGACATTTGATTTGGATGTTCTGAGGGATCCAGAAAATACACATACAGTTTTAGTGCTATTTCATAAAACTCAGTGAATGTCTTTATGCAAAAATATATTTAAAAGCAGTATTGTTAAAGAGGAAAGGCACAAACCTTGGAATTGACCAGTGGACCCTGTCTCGTTTCTATTAGTAAGTGGCCCTTGCTTTAGCCCAGAAAAGTTTTTTCCAAAGGTAGTTTTTTAAAAATAAACAAAAGCTTTGTTTTTATATGGGCTTTCTATACCCATTAGTACACAGCAATTCCTTAGTTATTAGCAGATAAATATTGAGCTTATGGATTATCAGGGTTGATATGATTGATGGTACTTGGCCAGGGAAAACTCAGGAGAGGGTAAGGATTAAAGCTGTGCCAACAATGGCCAAAATAATTTTGAGGAAGAATGAGGTTAAGAAACTTGCTTTCCTGAATGCCAAGACCTTTTATAAAGCTATAGTAATTAAGGCAGTGTGTTTTTTCACCCAGGGAAAAAGGACAGAGAGCCCAGGACTTGACAGACAACAGACTGACCTTGGCAGGTCTAGTGAGGAGAGTGGGACCACTGACTTTGCAAATGGATGAAACAGATTGCTACCCCTTACCAAACACAAAAATTAATCCCACACAGATTTAAAGGACTAAATGTGAAATACAAAAATTGGAGACTTTAGATGAAAACATCTTGAAGTAGGAAAGCATTCCTTAGACAAGATCTAGACCAGCGGTTCTCAACTTGTGGGTTGTGACCCACAGGAACTGTATTAAAGGGTCGTAGCATTAGTAAGGTTGAGAACCATTGATCTAGACAAACCAAAAGTAAAAGACTGGTAAAATATAACTATATGAAAACTCAAAGCACGGTGAACTGAAAGTCATCCTAAGCACAGTACAGAGACAGGCCAACACTGGAGGAAGATATTTGCAATGCACAGAACTGAGAGGTTTGGCATTCAGTATACATAAAGAACTTCTCTAAGATAATGAGGAAAAGTAAAATAAAGTAACCTCTCAATAGAAAACTAGACAAAAGATATATACATATTATCCAAAGGGTTGAAAATTGGCCAATAAACGTGCTTAATCTCACTAATAACCAGAAATGCAAACTTTAATGAGGTAAGTACCATTTTACACATCAGACTGCAAAAGTTATACTCTGATGATGTCAAGTTTTGTCAAATATATAAAGCAACGAGAACTCCTTTATGGATTGATAGTGAGTGGTCAAGCTGGTATAAACTCTTTGTAGAGCAATTAAGCAATATTTAGTAAGGATATATAAATTGTGACATATATGTATCACATGTATGTGATATCATACAAATGTCTGGTATGTGTATGTGTGTGTATACACTTACATAGGTAAACCGTATAAAGTCAAGGAGAAAAAGAAAATTGTAGATGATTGAAAATAATATGTATACATGAAGTTTTAAAACATGTAAGACAAAACCAAAGTAAAATAAAAAGAGCAGGAAATGATATC